TTAATATATGATTGTTCAACAACAAAACAAAAATATTTTCACCATTACATTCAACAATAAACTATACTTGTATTATGCATCAATCCTTAAATTTTATTATTATAGATGGATCAATACTTGTATAGTAGTACCGATACATGTCTTGTTCATCCATGATATTTTTTTCCAGGAGACCAATTAGCCGGAATAACGTTATTCACAGTGAATATTGTTTTGGACTCGATTGTTGTTACTTTTACAGAATATGGACCTTTTATTCCAGTAGGTAATCCAACTTTCCATGTTGCCCCCCAAGACTGTTGCATCGTTACCCATCCATTGGAATTTAAAGATGATATCGCGACTGCACCAATGTCACCATCTCCATCGACAAACTCTATGGCGAATGCTAGATGATAAGGGTTAGATCCATCGTCAATCTTGAACGTCATCGGTGCACTATAGTGGCATCTGACACTGCAATTCAATTTGCGATTACTTTACAGATGTTAGCAACTAATTCTTTGTTCAAAACACGATCACTTGGTTACCTTTGATAATCGATATTAATTCTTCCTGCTTTTCGTAAAGCGTCTTCTTGGCCGGGTTTGGCTAAGGATCCAAAGGCTTTACCGCTCAAGTCGAAGTGAACATGATCATTGTTGCAGTCGCCCGGACACTCGTCTGTGATTGTTATAGTGATTGCATTCCCCGAGCATGCTGGATTTTGGGTGCATTTCACCTTTTAATTAAAATTCGAAACTTAGTTTATGTTATTGTCATTTATGTATATCAGAAAAATAAATAAATCAAGTTGACATAATATAAAGTATATACCTGATAACAATTCCCACAGCCACTTCCATGTTTGAACAAGATTTGGTTCCCGGCTGATATCAAGCCATTGTAAGGAGGACCCGCCACATCATCTGCAAAGCCACAAGCTCCTCCTATACAAAAGCCACATAATTAATTCTTGTTTTATTTACTTTTAATCGGAGATTCTACGGTCCCGCTACGGAACCATTCCGTTGGTGTTTGTAACCGTTAGGTTAACTATCCACGACGGTTACATGATGATCTAACGGTTACAAATCCCGACAAATTGATTCCGTAACGGGACTGTACAACATTTTCCACATTTAATTATTGTTTTATAAAATACGTGTATACATCTTATTTTATTTTAAACATGATAGTATAAGTTTAAATTATTTTTTTTTTTGTTATTTTTTATTTACCACTTCCTGATCCTCCTGGTGGGCCATACCATGTTGCTACTGCTTGTGAAAAACTCAACTCAGAAGAATAATTTAGTGATTTTGAATTTAAGCAAAAACAACAATGATTTGTTATGAGAAACAAAATTGTAATAATCAAAGTTAAAGAATTGGAGAGATGAGAAGTAAACATAGTGCTCAACTCGGTAGTAGTGTACTTAAAATATAGTGTGTAGGAAAATTGATTATGTTATTGTTTACCCGACTATTAGGCTATTTATATACTACTCAAGATTATTACTTACCATATATATAATGGTTAATGAATATATATTATTGTTATATGCATGTAATAAAGCAATGTAGAATTCAACCTTTATATATTTACATCATATGCATGCAATAAGTTCAAAAGAAATATTAAAGTCGGTCAAAATTTTACTACATGTTGTGCATACAATTGGAAAGATAATTAGAAAAATTAGATTATAACAACATTTTATATTATAATTTTCTTAAACATTTTATTTTGCAGTTATATACAATAAACTAAACTTCACACACATATATATGATGTGGTTTAAATAAAAAAACTAAATAATCAACTGAGAATGTTATTTTTAATATTGGATATTAAATTTAATGGACTTGGTGTATATGTAAAAAACATAAACAGGTCGGAAAAATTAAAAAATTCATTAATTTATTGAATATTTCCTTGTAGATAACGTTTTTGGTTTGATTTGGTCGCGAGTCATCGTCACCACAGAATAATAATTTAAATGATTTTAGCATATGAGTTCGATAATAATAAATAAATGATGACTCAAAAAAATTATTACCTCTTCATCATGGAAATTTATTTCCAGCACATTTTTGTACTTAGCTTCGAATTGTTTTTTAAATGTACGAACAACCCTTAATTTCAAATATCACTTGTTTGTTTGGGAAACCGACTTAAAAAAATACTACACAAGCGGCATATTGACATGGTGTAAATATGATAGGTTTGTTATTTATTAGTATATAAATTTGAATGGTCGATTTATAATTGGTTAAATAATATGTAAATCAAAATTTTAGATTACATTTGTGTTAATTTACGTCATTTTATGCATATCAATTACAGAGGATGAAATTTTTATAAAAGAATATTCAATGTCTATTTGATTATAGTAGCCCGATGTATTTGTGAAAAAAAATAAGTTGTATTTAATTGGTTATAAATAATATTTTAATTATAAATTAGAAAGAGAAATAATGTTTGACTACCAAACATTTTTTGTAAAGAAAATCTCTCCAATAATTACCCAAATAGATTTCAGATATACATGGTATGCCAGATTTATTTAAAAACTAAGTTCTCGACCCATCAACCAAAACTCTAATTTATAAGCGATTTAAATTATTAATAGAATCCTTTACAGATGGAACCAAATTTCCAGCGAATTTTCTGTACCATAAATAATTTGAAATGTAGCAAAAGAATATATCATAATATGTGCCATAAATAATTTAAATTAGCAACAGACATATTAAACACGTGAAGATCAAAAGTTATTCAAAATTTGAATTTAAATTGAATTACAAAAGAAGTAAATCAAAGGCTTTGACTCAGTTTTCTAACCAACTTTCCACAAATTATTTTTCCATCAATGTTTTTTAATATATATAAATTGTGTATAATAATTTTCAATTGTGCTTGTTGTCACCTTTAATTTTTTTTTT